TTATCATTGATGATTGCTGAAGTTGTTACCTGTAATGAAAATTTTCTGTTCAGTAACACACAGTCTAATGAGTGCGGTGCAGTAGGATCGACTCATTCGGTCGATCTCTTTAGTGAGAACCGGGAAACCTTGATCAAACAGTTGGACAACAGGAACGGAAGTGGCCTTCCCTAAGTTACTGAAGAGCATTTTCCAGTAGGAGTTGTCTTCTAACTTTTAATTGAATTTGTTTCCAGTTAATCTACCTCAACTTTGATTTTTCTTTCATTTAAATCTATTTACTCTGCTTGTTCTCTGAGGGATAGCCCTGTGTCCTATGCTGTGTGGGTTGTAGTGCAATGGGTCACACACATCGACGTCACCGACCCAGATGCCCGCCTATTTACTCAAAAACCTTAAAGAAATCGAAAGAGCGTAATAAAGCACGAGTAATCGAGCACTAAAAAGCCGTGTTATCATTCTTAGAAAGCGAGCTCCTTGCAAACAAAAACGTAAAAATTTTGTTTTCAGTTTTCTATAGAGATAAAAGACGTCAAGAAATTCTTGAAAATGTTAGTTTTGCTTCAGCCTCGAGGTTGTTAGGTGGAAATCTTTATTTTGGCCAACGTTCCGACGGACTCGTCGTTTTCAAAGGCCTCACTTCCACCGCGAAGTGTAGCACTACGCTACACAGTAAGTACATTAGTAGCGAATCAAGAAAAAATGCAACAAAACAACCTTGGCATTGCTGTTGTTCTTGAAAAATAATTTTCAAGAACAACAGCAATGCCGAGGTTTCAAGATGAGAGAACTTGGAATTTGACGTTAAGAAGTGTTTATTATGGAAAACTGGTGTGAATTACAAGGAATGCCTTCCCGGGGTTTCAGGTGAACTTCCTCTAGACCTTACGAATTCCATGTTAGAACCCATAATCCAAGCAATATAACGGGACCAATGACATTATGTAAGATTCGCAGATTTTACAAACGCGTTTAATAGCTCGATATGGCTTTAGGGCTACAAATCCAAAAAAATTCTCGGTGATTTCTGTTTCTCGCAGAGGCCGAATATAAGGAGCAAGCCTAGAAAGCTTATTTATGCTGGGCTGGAATGTCTTACTTTTTCGGAGTCAAAAAACTTGAAGCTTGAACTTCTGTTCTCAACGCATTTGTGAACATACAGAAAAAAATAAAATGTCCAAAATGAATGTTACCTGCACGGCCATGGTATTCGATATGAATGGTGGGAACGGAGTTTTGCCACAGATACGGAATGTCTGGAAGAAGAAGCTTGAGAAGGATTGCCGTTACGAATTCGAAATCCAAGAATTTCATGACTGTCAACGGGTGTAAAAGATAAAGGATTACTCCAACTCTCTCGTCAAGGCTTTCACTCTGAAATTTCCTCAAAGGATAGTTCGGAACAGACAGACCAAGTTTGGTACCAGATCGCGCCAGTAAGAGTTTAGGTCCAGCCATCGACATTGCCTGTGTCATACCTTTCTGTCATTGCTTTCTCTCGCACAGGCTGGATGCTGGCATTTCGAGATCAGCCCGACGTCGCGGATTTCAATGAATGCATCAGAACAATCGCCATCAATCGAAGGGAAATTGAGACTGCTGCAAACAAAAAAGTTTCAAGGTATGTACCGCTCGATATAACCGCATGAAAAAAAAAGTCATTTACCTTATATGGAGCCATATCGGTGTCTGAGACTTAGACTGTATTACCCACTGGCATCGCTGATTAGTTTGACCATAATGTTTGTCTGGAAATGAATTGGTGAGGTTTCAAACAGAAACTCGAACTGTAGGGTCCCTGGAGAAGCTCATTTTCCCATATTGTGTCATTTCCTAATTTCGGGTTCCCTTACAAGTTGGGAAGTTGTTTTAAAGAGGAAACTGTTAGAACAAACCTTTGCTCTGCTTGGTCTCATAGGTATACGTCTGGGTTTCGGTGTTGGCCACCAACCAATCTCCACAATCAGCTGAAATTGGCCAGAATAAATACCAACTAGTAAAAAACCCTTATCAAGATCNTAGAGTAACGACTTACGCTTGATTGATCTGTACTTGAGCTCAAAGCCAGTCCCTGAGCCATTCATGTCGCTTTCGAAGTAAACATGAGCCACCCTTGAATTTTTGAATTCATTTGGTAAAAGGTTTGGAATCGCTAGTGTACATTCCGGTGTTATACACAGAGCATGGTGACGATCAATTATCGATCTCTGCTTGGGTACGGTAACTTACTTATGTGAAGTATGGTACACCAGTGGTAGAGGTGATCGAACTGTGTCTTCACAGATGTCGTGCGCCAACACCGGAGAGAACGACTTGTATCCATCGTATATCTAAAAAATCCACTTCAGTCGAACTCCTTCGAGAGGCTGCAAAGTGAAACTACCGTAATCGCGTCTACACAGCGTGAACCGCTATTCGATGTCAGTCCTGGCGGAGATTCCAAATCCTCGGTGTCCAGTTTTATGATTTGTAGCTCCAACATTGTCCGATCGGGTCCAATAATGTTCCAACCGCAATGGAGATTGTGAATGTACTGACCTGAACAGAAAAATGAAGAGGGAAAGGGCCATGGTCCAAGGGCAGGACTGAAAAAGAGTGTTCATGCATGCCACCACGTAATCATACACTGGATACTGTTGGGTCTTGGAAATTAACAAACCGTTCTGATCGAGCGGCGGCTTCAGCGTTTTCCAGTCCCCATTGGCTTTCAATGTGCCACCACATCCAGACTTTTCACCTGCAATCTATCTATTGTATGTGTGTTACTTGCGGATATGACCGCGTCGTAAACCCTCCACTTTAATTGAAAACTTTGTTTCCGATTCTTAAAAGGCCTGTATCGTATTGTAATTGAGAAGAGCATAAAATCCTGATCATTTTGATACCCTTCATGACAGAATTTAAACATTTCCAGCTAAAAGCAGCGGTGCAAAGCAAATTTCCAGATTTTCAGACATTTGTTGTTTCTTTGAGCCACGTATTTCGTATGACTACCGTATGATTGCTTGTGAGGGATCCTCTTATGTCAAGAATTTTCAATTTCTTCAATTTTGCAGCATCATTTTCATGGAGGTCGAAGAGTGAGTGTTCAGCACCTGAGGTGCTTCCCGCAGATATAACATAACATTAAATTCCCCACTTCAGTAGAAAACTTCATTCTGAGTTCTTAAAAGACATTTGGAATATGCACATCTGAAATCATGGTTGTTTTGATATCGTAATGACAGAATTGAGAAAACCAGCTGAGAACAGTGGTTTCAATGTTCAACTTCTCAAGAAGTGGGTTTGCTAGTTCATTTCAGAGGTGCACTTCCTCAGGAACGATTTATTCTGCATTTACTTAAAGACTTCCATTTTGTGATCTGATATTCTGATAGTAGAGGGATGAATGGTCTCCTAATCGAGCGTTGAGCTAATTGACCCCTCACCATCGATCACTGTTGACCCATCGCCTTCGCTAGAGCCGTATCCGTTCAAGAGAACGCCATGCGACACATTAGGCAGAGCGACACTGGGGAAAGAAATGGCAGCACCATGAAGGATGCAGTTCAACTTTGAGTATCAAATCTACTTGTTTTAGTACAATTCGCTTGCACCATCACTTTTTGCTTCCTCAGAACCGCTTTTATAATTTGCTCCCCCAGTTCCCCATGCTATAGGAACTGGTGGGTACTCACACAAAGGAGCGGCCTAATCAGCTCAGAGAAGCGCACGTTGCTCGCGAACGATGCTGTTTCAGCGTTTACAAGTATTGCGCACGACGGCGGATCCGAACCCCATCAGATCCCTGGTCGCTGCAAACACGGGCACACCCTCCGCGCCATTGCGCCTGTTGAAGTTACGAGCACTTGTGCGAACCATTTGGTAGCGGATCAGGTTAATCACTACAACAGCAGGGTATAGATGATATGCGACGTGCTAATTCATGTTGCAACTTGTTTTTCTGCCCTTATGCTATTCTTTCTTGACGTTTCACGTCACCATGACCGGAAAAATCAATAGACTTTGAAGGATGGACTCATGTGCCTTTAGAGAGATCTGGACATTCGGACCCAGCGAGACCGAAGGAGATCGATAGTGAGGGGCCAAGTAATTAGCTCTACCACTAACTAACAGGCAGACTTTTGGGAAAAACGGATAAACTATTAAAATGGATGTTTAAACAACCTGATTGAATTTAGCTAACAGTGGTCACTGTGATGACTTTTTTTTTTCAAACTTAAAGCTCCTAATTTCGATCAAGCAAATTTTGACCGTATGCCGCAAACACAAGATTGGCCACTCCATACAAATGCTTCAATTTTGTAAGACAATGGCATAAACTGTTCGGGTATTTAATCGTCACTTGAATGCACTCATCAAAGCAACAATAAAGTCGATTCACACCTAAATTAACATACCCCAAAAAATAGATGACTAGAACCAGGTCCTCATCAGTAGTAGGTCAGGGCATCCAAGTGAGCCATCAGTGACTAATTTTTTGAATAAATAAAGCATTCCAGAAAAGTAAGCTCTGTGTATCAGGTAAACAATCATTAATTATAAGTTATGAAATAAACTAGAAGTTTTCTGTGTATATGCTGATATTTATGATTCCATACGCTGAATGAAACCCTAGTTGAATTAAAGAAAATAATTCAAATGATTTCAGAACAGAGTATCAAAGACATGGGAGCCTGCCCAAATTGGTTTTCGAAAAGGGATTTCTGCGCATCGTCTCTTATATGACATAGAGCCATAGCAAAGCGATGGGCTGATAGAGGTCGATATTGAGGGGTCAATTAGCTCAGCGGTCAGAAAGCGTTCCAATCACCCAACACCAAAGTTATAGATAATAATAGCACAAAAGCATGGCACCAAGATTTTTTGACCAATGCCCTCTTCAATCCTTATCATAGCTGGAGAGCACTGAAAAAAATCGTTAAATGTGCACCAATCAAAAATTTCTCAGGAGTTTGAAATAGAAAGCAGCTGGAAGCTTAGAAAGCCTATGAAAGTATATGATATATTTGGAATTTCCATGACTTTCTTCACTGGTCTAGCGCACAAAATAAATTATTGGAAAAAGTCGCCAATTTTTGAAAATTTGATAATTTGATTTACCGTTTTCAGCTGAGTTCGCTTGAATTTTATGGTTAGTGATATCAAAATAATCCCCTTTCTATGCTCCCCTCGAATATAATGTTACACATATTTTTTAAACACTGAAAACGAAGTTTCCAATTGAAGTGGACGGTTTACGATGCAGCTGTATCCCCAAGTAACACCCTAGGTGCTGAGAGACTCAATTTTCGTTTTTTTAGGGAAAAGGAGGCAAAAAAGTCGAGAAAATCGAAAATTCATCACATGCCTAGATTCTTCACGAACAGGGCTTTCACCTGATCTTACTTCCACCTTGATTAGATAACTTTAAGGAAAGTTATGGCGAAGCGACGGTTTGCGACGGATTAATCTGTCGCAAACGGATTAATCCGTCGCAAACCGTCGGTTGACCACAAATTAGTAGCAGTATTGTACTTGGCAAGAGTTTTGACGGAATTCCAAGGCTATTAGTGTAAGCCCTTTCGTGTGCTAGAAAGTCCCTGAGTTTGCGTAATTTTCCAATTGGATGCGGGCTTATGTGGTAAGATAAATAACACCTCAGCCTTCCATCCTGCTTGAACACCAGTAGGAGGAGTATCTGTAGCTCCACCATTGTACAAATTAGAGGAGGAGCATGACAAACTTGTACTCCCGTTTCTTAGTGAGCTTGTTTAGGAGCCTATACGGGGTTCTACAATCACTAGTTGTGAGAGTTATCCGAGACTCTCCAGTTGGCCAAGAATTTTCACTGCGTGAAACCTACAAAAACTGCCACTGAACCGAGCGGAGCAGAAAGTACGGTCTACAGTCTTTATGGTGATATTATAGGCTGCTGCACTTCAAACTTCGTGGAGGTTTTCTTCAAGAAATATGGACCGATCTCGGAAACCCGAGTTTAGGATTGTTTCGGGGCATTTTGATTTTTTTGTTGTTTTTCACGATTATAGTAACTGATGGAAGAAATGACGACAATACCTAAGGTAGCTATAACAACCAGCTTGAATCCACCACTGCTCATTGTTCGATCAGTAACGAAGTTCACTATGAGGTTATTGGACTTCGTGTACAATCTTCCTGCTGGCATCCTAAAAACAGACGATCAGGTAGTTATCGGTCGGCAATGGTCGTCATACGTTCGAAGGAACTTTGTGACTCACTGAGCTTTGCCACCGCAAACTTTTCCGAGACTGGTTCCGTTGAGATCGACTCCGTCAATCAACTCGATGAAATCCATGACACATTCGCTCGAAGCTTCAAGGTCCATGTACTCGTACCTGGAAATCGACAGGTTATAAGCTTTCCGTCTTGGCACCACCTATTTTGCAAGCTTCAGAGCACCACATCCCTGCTTACAAAAAATGAGAATAACTACTATACTACAGCCGGTCTGACTGCCAGAGAAACGACTGTTGCAGCAGGTCTTAAGTGATGGTTTTCTACTAACTTGATGGATAGCACCCGTCCTTCTGGTGCAGAGACATTCCATACACAGTCCAAATCGTGAGCGTAGTCAAGTGGGAATGCCGGTGATGAGATTGTAGTAATGTAACCAGAATCTTCAGATAACTCAATGTCTCCACCACAGCCTAAAGTGGTTGAGTTAAGCGAAAACTCAGGTTGTTATGCATTAAAAGGCACATCCATCTCAGTAACACCAGGAGTTCACTTACGCTCAATGGAATAGCTGATTTGGAAGCCTCGTTCTATCTTCTTTGATCCATGAATGTAAGATTGATTGGTAACGAATGTCAGGCCAACGGCACCCTGCAGAAGAGAAAGAATCACGAAGAGACATAAATAGAACCCCCTAAACCCCATTCTTCTCTTTCATTCTGAACCACAAGAAGCTTCCCGGCCTAAAGAGAGTGTGAGATCAGGAACGGGAGCGGGAAGTGGAGTGAAGGAGGTGGTATGGTTAAGGGAAGTTAACTGAGACTTCCCAAATCCGCCATATTGCAAAACTATTGGATACAAAAGCTTTTGAGTTATCGATACAAATGATCGATATAGATAAACCAGTCCAACCCTATCAACTTCTTCTGTACAGTGGTAAACCCCCCGTAGTCACTCGTGAGTAGGTGATTACCATTGGGGACGAAACTTCTCCCGGATTCCCTCGGAGAGTGACAGTGGTTCCCCGGCGACTGCCGTATCCTACCATTGGGAATACGTATCTTCCCCTTCATAGCGCACGATCGAGCGCGGCGAGCGCGACACGCCGTTCGGGGGGAAGATACCAGACCCATTACCACATCACCATTACCATTACCACTACTGGATGATTGAAAATGAGAACTAGGAACTTCTTGAAGATTCTAATTTTACTTCGTGAGGAGCTTATAACCTTTCCACTTGTCTTCCATTTTTCACCTTGGAAAGGGTACCTCAGAATTTCGGTAACTGTGCCTTTAGAAAGCAGGACGATATTTCTTTGGTGGTCGGTATCTGACCACATTCAGTTCCTTACTTTCCTACATGTTTCGAACAACGACTACCTTGATGGCTAGCGGTTCTTCGCTGATCGAGTCACCACCGCAATACGTGGCCATTACTCGATTATTGTTGACATCACGTACTTCCAAATAATCGGTAGGGCATGGATAACGTGAGTAATCCACTGAAATTCGGTACAATGTTGTTGTAATTCAAAACTTCTATTGAATTACTGAACTACAGATGTTGTATGGCATCGATGTTGCAAAAACATAGTTCTCTCACTTTTTGAATCTGAGAGATCGAAATCGAGCAGCTTCAGGGCAATCACAGCTTTTGCTGCCTCTCCTTCTGGAGCGATTAGATACTCGCACTGTGCATTCAGATTCGGGTAATGGTTAGGATAATTTGGAGACGAGATCACTCCATGACTCAAACGGAATACTGCTCCGCACTCTGGAAACACGGAATGAATTTTGAAAAACCTGAAAACTTAATGAAGTGACATTACCAGCATTCCATTCAGCTCGGAATCCGGCGGCTGTCGTTGATCCATCAGAAGTGAAGTTAAGCCTATAACAGACTG